AACATGTCCTTTATCAACCAATTTACTCACTGACAACAAGTTTGTTCTGGCTTCTGGAACATACAGTACACTACTAATATTTGAAATAGAGTCATCATTCTTAAACTTTACCCGAACAGAGCCAGATCCTAGACATTCTAATTTATTTGTTCCCGTAGTGAACACTTCTACTCCAGTCATCTCCTTCTCTTTCTTAAACCAATCCAGTCGAGATGTCAAATGAGAAGTAGCCCCTGAGTCGACATACCAACTAGAATCATCATTGGTCTCCAATGTCAGTGCTGCGAAGTAGGAATTCTCGCGACGAGATGTCTTCTCTTTCTTAGCTGACATCTTGTCTTCTTGCTTTGAAAAACTCTTCTTAGTTCCCTGTTTCGAGGAATTCTGCACTTTCTTGGGGCAGTCCATCCGTACATGGCCAATTTCACCACACAACCAACACTTAGGTTTTCTTGGAAACCTTTCCTTTCCATGAGACAGAAGAGCCACATCTTCTTTACTATGTAAGTTCGTGTCATCATACTCTTGCAATTTTCTGGAAATCAAGTCAGTAGAAATTGTTATACCACAATTATCATAGGTTTGTCTCATTGGTTCAAACCTATCAGGCAAATTTGCCAACATCATTGCCGCTACGAATTCGTCATCAAGAGGTTTCTTCATTGACCGCAGCTTATCAGCAATGTCCACAAAAGCATGAGTATACTCAGTCAAGTTTTTAAACTGTTCTAACCTCAATTGTCCCAGTTTGCGCAATAACTGACATCTTCGATTCAGGCCATCATCCTCAAAAGCTACAGAAAGCTTTTCCCACGCAGATTTGGCTGTTTCTGCATCACGAATGATAGGATAACAAGTGGGCTTGACCATGAGGCCAATCTTTATTAGGGCCGTTGCATCATGCTGGGTCTTCTGTGTTTCGGTCGTAGTATCTCCTGTAGGGTATCCATTTACACTGTTCCAAATGCCCAAGTCTTTGAGATAAAGCATCATTCCGAATTTCCAATCAGAATAATTTAAACGACCGTCCAGCTTTTCAATCGGTGGCAAGGTTGCAGTTGGATTCGAGACCTTTGATAACACTCAAAAATATCCACAACTCTTCAGTTAATTATATACTACGCGCAGTGGAAGAATCCTGGGCCCATAACCTGTTGTAAAACTTTTCGTTTATTTTCTGTAGTTTTTATTTCTTGATCCACACACTTCCACTTTTACATCCAGTAATATCATCTGGTATACGCACTAGCGTGCACGTGCGCATACGAAAAACCAACTTACCACCACACTGCCTGGAACCATACTGGGACAGCCATGTGGTCAGATTGTACGACATGCGTATATTAGTATTACCAACAAAAAGAACGCCTTCATGCTTTCTGATGCATTAATTGGGAAAGAAAATTCTTCTGTTTGTTATTCTGTCATCACTAGACATTGCTAGGTAGAGGCTGCTAACAGTGGAGATTCCTCATGGCCAAGTACAAACTACTACTGTTTGTTTTAAGCTCATTACTGGCTGACTGGCTGGCTGGCTGGCTGGCTGGCTGGCTGGCTGACTGACTGACTGACTGACTGACTGTCTGATAATTTGCTGCTGGCCCATGCCAGCACAGTGATTCTTTGTTCCAAGTCATATGTGGATCATGACCATATTTTACTGTCTGACAGCTCTGGGAGCTTTCAGAACCCATCTAATCTCACAGCCTTGGCCTTCAGCTCATAGAAAAAACCATGTTCACTATTGTTGCATCAGTAACATGTTTACCATGCCACTGTCTAGTAATGACCACCTCTACTTGTTTGAATATTCTGGCTTTCAGCCTTCATGACACAATATTATTAGCAGCAGCCCCTTCCTCATGGTGAAGAAGGGATATTGATATCTTTCAGTAACAGTAATAAAAGTGGCAGTTTAAAGTGAGGACAAGGAATCACAAGGGAATTATAAGAAGAACACTGTACACCATTTGTTTGTTACAATAGGAAGACAATAATTATCTGCAGCCAGAACAGAGTTTGTGTCACATTTTTACATTTCTTCAACTTAAGAATAAACAATGAAGAAGATAATATTATTTCAAAGATGTCTTGTCTACTGGCAGCTTCAGCTCCCAAAGAATTTACTGATACAGATGTCTCATTAGTTGGATTTATTGCAAAGTTGTTGTGGCTTAATACAATTTAATTTTACATGATAACTGGCCTTCAGTTACAGAGGTATTATAAATAGACAAACTGAGTTACAACATGATATACCGTAATGGACTATGAAAGATTTTAATATTTAAGCATCTTAAAAAATTGCTTCTTTCAGTTTTATTAACATATCCCCACTCAGTGACCACCAATATAACCAGATAAAATCGCCTCACTGAGTGTCTCTAACACAAGAATCCATTAATTCAATATTGATTGTATGATCTTTGAATGATGTAGGACCAGAATATTATGATACACATCCTGTCGTGGCAAACTTTTTGCATGAAAGAAAAGAAGACACAGAGAAACTGATGCCTCAGTATACAAAGACAGAGATTTCACTGTAAACAGTTTCAGAGAGACTGGTGCTTCATAAGTCTTCAAATATTATGTAACTGTAGATGTTATGAGCCACAAAGTATTTTGGTTAGATGTTTTTTAGCAAGATTGGTGCTTTATAAAGCCTTTCAGTGCTATAAAGCTGTTTATGTTATATGCTAAAAATATGTTATCCAGCAAATTTTTTAAGAAACTCGTGCCATTGAATACTTTATGGTTCTTATGTTATGTATTAAAAATATTTTGACATGTAATAATATATAAAACTTTTTGTATTGATACTAGAACAATTTTGTTTTTTCCACTTTAAAAGTTTACTAGCATTTTAGATTTCATTAATTGAAATACTCTTAATATCTGACTATTATTCTGTATGTAGGTGTTACATGTGTAACATATATTCACTCTTGTACTAGATGGCATTTGGTGTCCATTTGGACCAAGAACTGTTATTAAAAAATAACCCTGTTTGAATTGTATGTGATTTGTATTGCTGTAAAGCCAAAAAAATGCCCTGGAAATATAAAATTACATTTAAGAAAACAGCAGAATTCATAAAATGCAACGACTTGTGTATTTAACTACATGGGTTAGAATTCTGAGTACTAAATCAAAAAGAGAAGGATGCTTTTAAAATAAAGACATGAAACAGCCAGAGAGAGAACACACAAGGAAAACATTAACAGAGGACAGAAGACAGAATGTTGCAATCATGTAAGGATGTAGAAAGAATGGAAGAATATCCATAGACAATGCAACTAACTTGATGGATAGAAAATGGAAAACACGGAGGATGGAACAGTTAGAAGGAATTTATGAAACAATGAGAGGAATCAAATTGAAGTAAGGGCACTGAAATGTTGAGAGTAGAAGAATGAGAAGACTATATGCATGAAGAAAAAAAGTTCTGACGGAACTGACATGTCCAGAACCTTTTGTCTTCTAGTCTGTTGTCCAAAAACCTAAAAAATAGAATATACAAAATTATAATTCTGCCTGTGGTTTTGTATGGGTGTGAAACTTGGTCTCTGACATTAAGGGAGGAACATAGACTGAGGGTGTTTGAGAACAGGGTGTTCGGGAGAATATTCGGACCAAAGAGAGATGAAGTGACAGGAGGTTGGAGAAAACTGCATAATGAGGAGCTTCATAACTTGTATCCTTCTCCAGGTGGAATTAGAATGATCAAGTCAAGGAGGATGAGGTGGGTAGGTCATGTAGCATGAATGGGGGAGACGAGGAATGCATATAGGATATTGGTGGGAAAGCCAGAAGGAAAGACACCACAGGGGAGACCAAGGCGTAGGTGGGTGGACAATATTAGAATGGATCTTAGAGAGATAGGATGGGATGGCATGGATTGGATAGATCTGGCTCAGGATAGGGACCAGTGGAGGGCCAGTGCCACATAATTGCTGGAGCCATTGTACTTATTAATTTTCATTATTATCTAAATGACCCAAGTTGCAATGTTTTATTTTTTGTCTTTGTTTGTGTGTATTTGTTTCTTTGTATTCATCTTTGTTCATGCTATTTTATAATTGACGTCCAGTCTGTTGGTTAAGCACATAAATAAATAAAAAATGTTATCACCTCCACCACCACCATCATCATCATTCTCATCACCACCATTATTCATTTTATAGTGTATGTGGTCAATAATCAATTTCCCTGATACAGCCAGTTTGAATATTCTCACCTTCAGATTTTCATACTGGTGTCTAATGCATAACTTCAGCTTTCAGGAATAAGCTATGTAGAATATTAAGGGTTTTACAGAGTTTCAGCAACTGTTTGCAAGAACACAGGAAAATCTTCAGTATTGCATAAAAGATTATTCACACCATCCAGTGTGATTGATAAATATTGTGTTTTTTTTAATCTATCATTCTTTTCATGTTACGGTTGTAACGACCATCTTCAGAAGGACATTATCAGTGCATACAGAAACTACTATTACAATGTCACTGGTCATTATCAGTACTCACAGAAATTACTATTACAATGTCATAGGTATAAAACATTATCATATATGAGTAATAATTATTAAGATATGCATGAATTTGTTAAAATGTGTAGAGATTATTATAATTAGTCTACTTACACAGTATCATTTAAAAAATTGTTTCTTAAAATCTAGAAGCAATTTGGTTCGTGTCCTTTATACTTCTTATCTTTAAAGGAAGATGAATGTATGTCATGCCGTGGTTCCATCGTTTAGTGTCATTTTTTTTAATCTTTCATCCTTTACATGTTTCAGTTGTAGCAACTATCTTCAGAAGGAAATTGTCACTTTCCTTTATACTGTTACTAGTGTGATGGCCCAGGATGAACCAAGTCAGACTTCAGTATTGTACTATTTTATTCCAAAAAGCCAACATTATAAAGTGTGTAGTTTTCTAGCTTCCACTTGTATCTCTTTTATGCTTCGCTTCACAATTATATTTTTATGGTATTAGGATCATTGCAAAGGGTGCAAGCGGAGGCCTTGGTTCTACCGGAGGCTCCAGCAGTGGTGCCATTGTGCGGACAGTGGTTGAGCTCCACAGAGGGCAGCAGTTGTATATACTTGTTGGACAGGAGGGCTCCAATGGGTGCGAGGTGAGATCCATGCACATCTATTAATCAGGCCCTAGTTCAACAGCTCAGTGACACCCTCTGTCATCTTATTGGACCATAAGAAGTCTAAGTCTTTTCAACATGATTTCATCTTCTTATCACAAATGATATTTTGGAAACTGAGTCATGGCAGTATAGTTATTGCACTGATAGTGTTGTAGAGGAAACCACTATAAAAAATTAGGTTAGAGTCAAGTATATTCACTTAGTATTTCTAAGCCATTTCTGACTTTGGTCTAATAAAACAACAGTATGTGTTTCTGAAGACCAGTACTGCATTTATCTCACATTGTATAACAGAAATAAGAGTCTAAAAATTAACAATTAAGAAACATGGTGTTCTGAGTTTTAACACCATGTAGTTTGGGGAGAGTCTGATATGTCAGAGAAACATATCGCTTCCAGCTTCAGGGTCATAGAGTAAGCCAAACAAGAAACCAGCAGAAGGTAAAAGTAAGCAGAGTTTGGAGGCGATAATTCTTCCAAATTTTGGGACTTTTTCAAATTACGTGGCATCACAATCTATGTAGAATATCAAATCTTAAAACTATGAAACCTGTTTACTTAATGTCCTGCGTAAGACATACACATTATCTTCCAAGGATCTGGATTTTTATCACACTTCTGTCACCCATTTACTGAGATTCAAAGACCATCCCCAAAAGTCAGTGCCCTGTTTTGTCACCACTCAGTCTTTCACTGAAACTGATAGCCATATTCAAGATGAATTATGCAGGTACTAAAAAGAAACGAACTATGAAAAATTAAAGATAGAGAAGTTTCCACTTGTGAAATAGTGATTATTTGAGTTCTGGTAAAAGAAAAAGAACCCCAACTTGAATTTGCAGATCACCAGTTGATAGACATTGTATTAACCAACCAAGCATTAAGTGATCCTGTTGTCAGCTTTCAATTAATGTAGTTTGAAAATCAAATGTCTGTTATATTTCATGGGGACTTGTAACATGTTTATGTTATTTCAAGAAGAATAAATTAAGGACTGAGTCAATAAATATGAAAGAGTAGGAATAAAATGCCATGAATCTTGGCTTTCACAACAGAAATGATTGCATATCTTCATTTTTTAAATATTTTAATGTACATAGAATTCAGAAGAAAAATGTCACAGGAAGACACCTCTCATGATGAAACTTAGAGCTTCATGCATTGCTTACTATTGTCGACATAAATACGTATATAATACATCAAGAAGGCTGAGTGATACCAGACAAGTAGCACACATAATGGAAACAATCACGTGGAAAAATTACACAGAACTTGCTATAGGAAAAGGACACTTTGGATATAGTGCGTGTATTATAGATGCTGTTAAAATGGAACTAAAATATATAGGTTTAATAATGCTGATTGGATTGAGTGAGCTCAGTACTTAATGTGGTCCTAGGTTTTTGTATAAGGAATAATCAATATTGGATTCTGATACCAGGACTGAAGATTGATTAATTGATTTGAAAGTAACTGGGCTGTACTGGTTATTTATAACACGTATGAAATCATAATTTACAAACTAAATCAAAACTACTGAAAACTGAAAATAAAATTTATCATCATGGCATTTTATTCACAGAAGCTGCAATAGTTACACTACTGTCACATGTTTACCAGATCATTGCTTATGATAATGGTATGTTGGCATCACAGGAGAATAGTCTTTCTTTAGTGCATCCTGTTCTAAATATGAGGGAGTTATCAGATGTGGAGACTGTCATTGTGTGATTCAGGACCTGAACAGTGGAACCTTTGTGCAGCCCAACAAGCCCAGTTCTTCCAAGAGCAGTTCTTTAATAAAGATGTTAGCACAGCCACAAGAAGATAGTTCTATCAACAGAGTGCTAAATCTCAACTTCATATGTAGGGGTGGAGGTGGCGGTGGAGGCACCTTTGTGTTTCTGGTGAGTTGTGTCCACTTCAGCAACAGTGCTGTGTCACTTACAGGAAATATGCTAGGCATATACTCAAAACTCTTATCCCATAGGTGAACCGGGACAACGAGTCTGTGCCACTGGTAGTGGCATCTGGTGGAGGTGGCCTTAGTCGCAGCAGGAGTATGGATGATAATTATCAGCATGGACATGGCTTGAATGCTAGCAGACTGGATATGACGGGCAATGAGTTTGGTTCAAATGCTGCAGGTAGAGTGATGTTCAATTAAATTCATGGTAGATTTTTTTCATTCCTTCTTAATAGGAGAAATACAGACTTACAAAGAGGCTATGTAAGTTTTGAGGTTTTCACGGCGATGACAATGAAGAAAGTTGTCTTCTGGGTTTAGGCACCGTGTATTCTTCGTTTTGGCCGACGTTTCGGAGGAACGTAGCGCCTCCATCTTCAGAGCAGTTGAATAGCTGCGGAGAGCAGTAGCTGTTACTGCTCTCCACAGCTATTCAACTGCTCTGAAGATGGAGGCGCTACGTTCCTCCGAAACGTCGGCCAAAACGAAGAATACACGGTGCCTAAACCCAGAAGACAACTTTCTTCATTTACAAAGAGGCTGTTACAAAAGTCAGGGGTGGAAGTTGAATCTATAGCCAAAGTGGGCATTATAAAAATTTGCAGTTATTATGAACAGAACTTGTTCCAGGTGCTGGTGGTGGCTGGAGAAACAACAGCTCCTTGGAGTTCCGGATGGAAACTGGATGGGCACTGCTAGACAGTGGCATTGGTGGACAGGCATGTTACAACCAGTCCACAGGGGAGGGTGAAGGAGGGTTTGGTGGTGGAGGGGGTGGATGTGCAGCAGGGGGTGGTGGAGGTGGTTTTGCAGGTTTGTATTTGTAAGAAGTTTAAGGTGATAGGACCATGCACATTTCTACAATGTTTTGTTTTCCATGCCGATTATATGAGATATTAAGTTATGTCTTTTAAAGCTGAGTACAGGAGGATGTAGGAAAAAGCTGTCATGGCCCAGTGATATGCATTTCTATAGTATTTACTTATATACAATAAGAAATCCATGAAAATGTTCATGTTATTAAAGAAAGTGAACTAGCAGTGCTTCTGTACAAATATGAATATAAATTTGAATATAAATCAGGAGTGCTAACTGCAATGGTCCAACAGGTGGAAATGCATGGTCTGAGCCCATAAGGAATGGGGAAGGTGGCTATTCTTATGTCAGAACAGAGATTCTGACCGATGTTGAGACTGGGAAACACCGCGGCCCAGGCTTAGTACTCATCATCCCTGCACTGGACAAGGCCTGCAACTGTGACTATCGCTGCGTGGCACTTGATGAATTTCGTAGCAGTGTCCAATGCATCTGTCCTGATAATTGGATGCTTGCGGCTGACAACATATCCTGCATCTGTAAGTGCAATGTCTATATGTTTTAGCTGTGAAACTACTTGATGGAATTTAATTAAATTACTTTATGTCAAGATCAAATCAGACTTTAAAAGTTTTCTCAAATACAGTTCATTGTACTGAAAACTTGTGTGATGTAAAATATAGACCTTACATTTGTTCATTTTCTTTGTGTCATGCTTACACATCACTTAACAGTCATATTGGATGAGAAGAAACTTTTTATTATAAGCTGAAACAAAAACAAATGAATATTGATCATTATTACCAACTTCAACATTTTTACATTACTAGATTCTCAACATTCCTCCTTAATTTCAAAATGTTGTCAACATTGTTAGCTGTTTTACAAAGTTAAATTGAATAACACTTAGTAATTTTGGTCTTCAGATTACAAAATTAGTACATGTTATTAAAATTTTCTTAGTCTTATCAAAATCAGACTTATTTCTTCTTAAATATAATGTCTCTAAACTTGGTAAATTTCTCTGGTGATAGCGGTTTTGTTAAAATGTCTGCCACCTGAGTTTCAGTATTACAATATTTAATTGAGAACAGTTTCTCTTTCAATTGTTCACTTATATAGTGATACCTAATGTCTACGTGCTTACTCCTATGCGTTACTTGTCCAGATTCTATTAGCCTGATTGCACTCTGATTGTCGACACACAGTTCAGCTTCCACTCTTTTTCCTGTCAACTCCTCTATCAACGTCTTTAGATATTTCAATTCTTTACAGCACTAAGCTGCTGCAATAAATTCGGCCTCAGTGGTTGATAATGCAACAATACTCTGTCTCCTAGAGCACCATGATATTGGGCCCCCTGACATCATAATTACATATCCCGTTACACTCTTGCTATCCTTTACATTCCCTGCATAATCAGCATCACTAAATGCTTCCAGTTTCACAGTTTTGGAGTCAGATGAGGTATATTTTATTCCTGAATCTCGTGTACCTTACACATACCTAAGGGTCCTTTTCACATTTTGAACAGCTACATGTATTTTGTCAGGATTTGCCAAGGTTCAACTTTCCACATATACAGCGAATGCCATATTGGGTCTGGTTTTAGAAGTCATATACAGACTTCCTACAGCTTCTCTGTAAGGAAATCTTATGTCCTTTTCTCCTTCATCATTTGTTGGTGGGGTCGTGGCCATGGGTGTTTTCATTTCTTGACTTTCTTGCATGTTGTATTTTTCCAACATTTGGCTTGCATAGTTGGTTTGAGAGATATGTATTCCATCTGGTTGCCTCTCAATCTGTATTCCTAAATAGACTTTTGGATTTGTGGTTTTTGTTATCTGGAATTGATTTTCCAGTTTCAGCAAAATTTCCCAGGCGGTGCTGAAGTGTTTGTAGTCTTCTGGTAGAATCGTTGTTATTTTTGTCCTGATCAAGTTTTCATCAACGTTTTGGTTCAGTTGACGAAGCTTGAAGGCAATGTTCTGCACGTCACTTATGTTCGTCTTCATATCCTTAGTTTTGTCATACTTGAAGTTGTAGAAGTCTTGTAGCAGAAGGCACTTCTGTTGAGAGGTGTCTCGCTGATAAATTTGCTTCAAGGTGTCATACATTTCTTTAGCGGTTGTGCATGTCACAGTGTTAGTCTTCACGTGTTTCTCTATCGTTCTCACTATGTAGTATTGGCACTTTGCATCTCGCATCTTCCATTTCCTTATATTTTCTTCGTCTCTTCCTTGATCACTTAACAGGTCGCTGCCACCAACAATGTTTATCAGTTCTTTTGCACACATCAGAGTCTTGATTTCAAAATACCACAATGGAAATGAGTCGGTGTCCTAAAGTTTTGGCAGATGCAAATTCTCTTCTGGCTCTGTGGTTGCCATTTTTCATTATTCTTATTCTGTCTTCTCTTTTTTTCTCTTTCCTTCCTTTCTTTTTTTTCAGTTTTTTGAGCAAATCTGGGCCCATAACCTGTTCATTTTCTTTGTGTCGTGCTTACACATCACTTAACATCCATATTGGATGAGAAGAAACTTATTATTATAATACAAAACAAAAACAAATGAATATTGATCACTATTACAAACTTGAACATTTTTACATGACTAGATTCTCAAGAATTAAGTATAATTTTGTTTTAAAGCTTTCATATGGTGTGTTTGACAAAATAAGAAGGAAAATAATTCATATCTACATGATGTAAAACATGGTTCCTATACTGAAGAGTACAATAGCGTATGTAGTAATAGAAACAGCAAGTGATGCAAAATTGAACTGAGTGCACTTCGATTCAAATACATAATTATACTTCAGTCTCTTCTTCTTCTTCTACCTTAACATCATTAAGCTTCTATGGATGGATGTACTATATACATGCTACAAATGTATTCATGTACATTTCTATAATGGGAAATAGAAGCTCTGCTCAGCAGCAAGCCTAGTGTCGAGCATGGGGCTATCATACGAGTAGCATGATATAATGATAATCACAAAGGCATGTAAAAGGAGATACAAAATTTCATCTTTATATTAAGGAGACTGAGAAGCATGGAACATACAGTATCTATGTGGAAACAAGAAATTTCTTTAAAGTTATCACTAGAAAATATCAGTAAGAGACAACATAGTACATAGAATAATAATCTTAAACATGGAAGTACCACAATGAAAATGGTACCTTCAGTCATAATTATTGACTCAAAATTAATATTTACAATAATGCTTTGGAGTGTGTAAGCTGCAATGTTGAGAACAACTTCAAAAATGAGTTCAAGGTCACACACAACACAAAGTTCAAAAATCTGTGGGAGCTACCCACATTGAACCAACGCACACTGTAACAACATTGTACCTCCAGCACAAAAAATTGCAATCATAGCTAGGAAACATTCACTGCTCCATAATGGCTCATCTGCAGAAGCAGATTGGTACATCATGGTAATGGAACTGCAGAAACCAGTGAGCTCTCTGTGGTCAGCTATAAGCTACATAACGTGGACCAACTGAGAAGACATATATATATATATATATATATATAGAATACTAGGACTTGGCCCTGCAGGTTGTGGGAGTCTCAAATCTGAGGCAGTAAAAATGTGATCATGAGTCCCATGGGACTCTGACCTGAGAATGAATGCGCTGGCGAGGACCAGCAGCAGTTGTAAATGACAGACCTATCCTCTGGTCAGAGAGGATGTTACATAAAGACTATAACCACAAGTGACCAGTTGGAAGCCTCTGTGGAGGCGGGCTTGAATACCTCAACCATAGCCCTGAGAGTCATAGGAGACAACGAAAAGGTGAACCAGTGCCTGGGGGTATAATTGGACCACCCTGTTCCTGGGGAATATAAATACGGGGACCCAGTCCTCCAGGGTGGGGAAGTCTTGAATCAGAGGCAGTAAAATTTAGTCATGAGAGAGATATAGAGGTTATAGATATAGAAGAGAGAAGCAAAGAAATCTTCCATCGTCTGAAAAGCTATTATGTAATGACTATACATACATACATACATACATAGCATTCCATAGATCCATGAGTTAGTCAGATGACCTACCGGATGTCGAATTTGTCAAAAATCATGCAATACATATATACATGCACAATTCAATTTCACATAAATAGTAAGGATTTCACAAAAGTAGTAAAATATCCATCATAAATCCATACATTAACATATACTAGATTTTTTTTTCCTGTGTTCCAAACAAGAGAAAACATTACATACACTTTATGTTGTTTGGAAGCATAAATTCCTCAACAGAGTAAAAGGAGTGTGTAATTAAGTATCTCTTTAGTGCTACTTTAAATTGTCCCTGTTTATCTATAAGAGTTGTGATATTTGGTGGTAGATTGTTGAAGATTTTAATGCCAGTATAATATGCACTCTTCTGGAAACAAGAGAGGCTGGCAACTGGTCTGTGAAGCTGATTTTTATTCCTTGTGTTGACATTGTGTATTGTAGAATTGGTTGGAAAAAATTCTTGGTTTTTTACAATGAAGATCATTAAGGAGAATATGTATTCACATGGGAGAGTTAAGATCTCTAGCCTCTTGAAGATATTTTTACATGATTCTCTTGGTTTAACACCAGCCATTATTCTAACAATTTTCTTTTGTAAGATGAATATCTTCTGGCTGTAAGATGAGTTACCCCAAAAAATTATTCCGTACTTCATTACAGAATGAAAATAGGCAAAATAAATCAATTTGAGAGTCTCAGTATTGCTGACATGAAACATGCTTCTAACTGCGTAGCATGCTCCACTTAACTTAGGGATCAATTTATCTATATGGTTCGACCAACTTAGGTGGCTATCAATTTGCAAGCCAAGGAATTTCGTATTTACTGTCTCTTCTATATATTTTCCATTATATCCAATATTTAAAACATAGGGAGGGGCATTATTTGTTGTAAATTTCATTACATTTGTTTTGTTTAAATTTAGGGCAAGTCTGTTAGCATTGAACCATTTATTCATGTGGGAGAGTACTCTGTTTGATATTGCACAGAAATCATCAAACATTTTACTAGAGATTATAACACTTGTATCATCAGCAAATATTATGGGTTCTGATGAAAAATTTATTGTTGGTGGAAGGTCATTTATATATATTATGAAAAGCAAGGGTCCCAGGACAGATCCTTGGGGAACTCCATGCTTTACTGTTCTCCAGTTTGAGAAAAAATTTTGACTATGAAGTCACAGTAGAGAGAAGCTAGTCTATGTATTCATTATAGCAACAATAAATATTTGTACAGAAATTTAATACATAGTTGTCTCTTCAAGCATCGACAATCTCTCACTGCTCTTTTTCTTTTTTCATATACAGGTCTTTTTCATATGTAGGTCTACTCGTACATCATGCTTACTAATTATCTCAGGTTATTTATTTATAAGGAAGTGAGGTTCGTTGTAGTCAGTAGAGCTGAGGATTTCTTTCTCAAGGTCTATAGCAGGCCTCTAGCTCCGAGAAGGCAGGAAATAATCTCAAGGCTACACACACACACACACACATATCAAGTTTAACTGCTTATTAACGTTTATGCCCTTTTCCTTACTCAATTACTAATTTCACTTATAAACTTGCTTAATTTTGAATTTTTGTTTCTTTGAAGCACAACACGTTTTGCTTCTAGCGTTACTACTTTAGAACTTTCAACTTGGTTGCTAATGCTTATAAGTACAGAGAATAAATTTTCAACTGACCGATACAAGTTTTTCTTATGAATTGTTCAAGAGCCAGTGTATGACTGACTTCTATGACTGACTTCTCTCCAAACCATGAGGTCCTTGGTCCATCAGCTTCTTGGCTCTGTCACACCCCTAAATTCTAGCAATTGGACTTTTTTGACATTAGGGAATTCACTTTATTTCCCTGATTTCCAGTCAGCTCACTGTGACTTTGGATTTTAGCCTTCAAAGACATAACATAACTTTCAACAGGTCTTTGATGGATTCTACACTTGGCTTCAGTCTCTGACCCTCCGCCTCAAGAATTATGAGTTGCAAAAACTGTCAAGCTTCGAATTCTCAAAAATTGACACAATTACTTTTTCGAGCTAAAATTCTAAGAAAAATCCACAGGGGTTCTTCCTGTTCTTCTGCAAGTTTGAGAACAAGCTAATTCTTACATGCAAGAATAGGCCTGACTAGTTCATAACATCCAACTGTGAAACAGTTAAAATTTTAATTAATGAACTTAATTAAATTTAAATGGGAGCATGGCAGATTACAAATCCCACAACTTAAAACATATGTTGTCTCCTGTTAACCCCTGTTTAAATATATCAAATATATCGAACTAATCACCACTCACTTACTTGACTGCTTCTTACTTGCCTCATTACAGATATCCGGTGATGATGGAATCTGTTTCTGTTTTATTTAGTATTAAATATTTCCATGGGTCACTTTAAGGGTAATGAAGAAAAATAACCCATGCTTAAAAATTCGTTTTTAACAGATATCGTTGACATATAGAAAGCTAACTGAGAGGACTCATAGATGTTTGGATAGTCTGAAACGCTTAATAAGGAATATAATTAATAGGTGAATAAGTGTTGGGTGCCACCTAACAAGGCAACAAATGGGAACAGCATTGTTCTTTTCTGCTGCATGCAATAGCAGCAGGTCAGTATGATTGCACCCCTCTGTTACATAACTGCATAAAATTTCCTTTGAGTTTATCCAGTTGTTTAATGATTAAATAATCTTATAGCCTTACCTGTCCATCTTCAGGGCCAAACAATACCAAAGAAAACTGTACATAAATATTTTGGAATACTTGGCTTATTTAAATGAAAGCTAATTGTAAATCTCTGAAACGTTTCAAAATAATAACTTGCTGAAATCAGTAATGGTTGGAGGTAGATGGTTCTTATGATGTCTTGTCAACATCATGCCAAAGGTGTCCCAGGAGGAATGGACCAAACTTCGGGAGGGTGTTCCTTATGTTAAAGTAGGCCGATATAACCCAAAACACCTATGTCCAAAGTTGAACAGTTACGGAGATAATGGCCAGAGAAGTGTCAAACTTTGACCGGTGTTACACACTTGTTGATTATAAAATACATATTAAAACTGGCAGGAATATGTGGATTCTGTAATGTTAATAATGTACATAACATCAAACTAACTTGTGAGTGACATGAAGCCATAAAATTGAAGTATGAAATACTCGCTCGCCATGTCATAATTGTCCTTAGGGTTTCCAAGCACCATACATGACACATGACTGGCGAGCGATGATGTAATATGGCTGCGCTATAAGCCGACCACATGACTGTAAATGTACATTCACGGAAAATCTCTTTTGGAATTTCGTTTCCATTATCTCTTGTGGATTATTATGGGACCACGTATGCACATTTCGTAAATTATTTACACCGTCCAGGGTAAAAGACGCCTCATCACTGAATAAAATGACGCTTAACAGTTCGGGATGAGCTTTTATCCAGTGGCACAAATCCATACGCTGTGCATGGTCGCCTGGTTCCAGATGTTGTACCCTTTGATCATGGTAAGGATACAACTCTTCATCATGTAAAGTTCGCCACATCTGCATACGTGATACGCAGATGCGAGAGGTCATTCTACGAGTGGACAGACGCGGACTTCTCTCAACCATCTCAAGAACGTTCTCTCGTGTGTTTCTCATTTGTACATCCTCCCTTTCCGACTGCACAGAAACACTCGGAAGAGAACCAGTCACACGCAACACCTGGTGAATTCGCGTAAATACACGTCGAGATGGAATCCTTCGATCGGGAAAACGCCTTTGGTACTCTTCAACAGCAGCACGTGCATTGCCACCGCAAAAATCCATACACAAAATGCATATCACAATATTCAACGTGTGAAAACACAAAAGGCATTTCAGCAACACCGCACAACTACACGTAATTTACTAACCATTCACGACCCCGCCGCAATGTAATCTGTAGGCTCTGTAGGTAGCGCATGAGATTGCGCCTAGCATGACTCACAGCACTCAAGGACGAACAGATAACAGTCACAGCTGACAGGTATAGTGCGTGGACCTGCTAGAAGACCACACTTTTCTCGGGCCATTATCTCCGTAACCGTTCAACTTTGGACATAGGTGTTTTGGGTTATATCGGCATACTTTAACATAAGGAACACCCTCCCGAAGTTTGGTCCGTTCCTCCTGGGACACCCTGAATGATAGGCTCATAATCATTAAAAAGAATATGGACAGTTATGGCCAAAACATGTTGAGCTGTAATATAATCTAATCATTAAAAAACTGGATACATTTTACGGTAATTTTATAATAATCTTAGCATAAATAATGCATTGGCAATAAAGACTTCAATCAAACCGTGCAAATATTTAGAACTGTAGATATGTGTCAGATCAAATGTGTGTCAGGAAGGATCTGAGAAATGTCATTTTAAATGCAGATTTTATTATCAATTTCTTGCTTAATGACCTAATTATGTGTACATTTTCCAGTACCACCAGAGCCTCCCATTGCATACATTGCTTGGCTGATTGGGACTGGCACCATGCTGGTCCTTGGACTTGGCTTGCTGTGCTTCTGTTTATGTAAGTAATGTTCTTGTTTTGGAACTAAGTCACTGCTCAGTCACCAAATTATCACAGACAACATTTATACATGATAGTGGGTTACATAATATGTGAATACCTTCTATTTTGTTATTGAAGAGATTGTGATATTAATATTAGTTGCTGATAAATATATTTTGTGTCACTGTATTGCATTACATTCAAGACAGTAGACCTGTATTTCCAACTGGCAATTAGTTTCTGTGTTTAAATACTGGAGTCTGTATAAGTTTTTCATTTGGTCTTTTAAAAACAATTAGTGAACCACACTTGAAAATGTTACTTTTCAGTGCTGTTATAAAAGTAAGCCATTGCCATTGGCATAAGCACCACCCAGAAAGACTGCAGCTCACAGTGCATGACTCACTATTTCTGAAGGTTAGACCTTACATGCATACATAATTTTGAATGGAAAACTTCAATGAAGAAGATTATTATGGAAGTTAAGCTCAGTTTGATTTGATATTAAATTAAAATTTGAAAAATATGTTACAAAAATGTGAATTAGATTGAAATGTCTCATCACAATGTACAATGTAGGGTTTCATGATCTTTGGCATACATAAAAACAAAGTATATTTCTTGGCGATATAAACAGGTATCAGCTGGTCAATGAAGATTCTGAACCATCCAGATATTTAGTTACTTCTTTAGTTAACTATTTTGATGATTAATTAATTAATTATACAGCAGAGAATTTTGTGATTAGCTAACATCAACCATCTATTGAAGGAAGTCTTTCAAATATGGAGTTCAGTTATATAGAAAACTAGTTAGTTAATTAGGTTGTTGGGTAGCTGAATAATTAGTTTAGTTTAGTTAGTATGGTAGCCAGGCCGTAGGTAGTTAGCTGAATTTTTTATAGTCCACAATATTAGAGAATGTCTTAGACAAATAACTAACCAAATACATGAGGAAGCCTTTGTACCATATAGTTAGTAAGTCATATGGCTTGCACTTTGATATATTTTATTTAGCAAGACAAAACTGAAATTGACTGGAGCAATGACTGCTTTTATAAAAACTGAAAAGTAAATATTCCAGTTTTTGGAAACTGAGGTGGCCAGTTTAAATGTATCGTATTTATGAAAATCTAAGTCGATGCACTGATGGGGCCAACTACTAGCTGCCATGTATTTAATCGTAGATGTGAGGAATGGCTTAAACCCAAAGGAATCATCTCTCTGACTAAGAGCAGTGCGACAGGAGGTGTCAGCTGTTTAAATCTACACGGTAAGAGAGTGTGCCTTTGATTGAACTCTTCTCCCCATGACATTTAACCATGACTTAGATTCATGTAAATACGGTACAGTAACTTACCTCTCCCTGATGCAGCATGCTGGAACCTGTCCTTTCCAGGCCTTGTTTTTGTTACTGCTCTTAAGCACAACCATAGTCTTACAAATTAGTAAACACATCTGCAACTAGCATTGCCAATATGTTGCCTTTAATATGTTGTATTTAAAAAAGTTCACTCATACGTATTTACTTTGAATTCTGTGTATATATTTTCTTGCATTAAATATTATAAGAAAATAAAAGTTAGTAAAACAGAGAACAATATAATGGTTTAAATTCGTGTTTAGACTAATTTGTCTGTCAGTTCAGTTAGCTGTGGGGTGGCAAGGGGTTAGATTGTGTATGCAACGAGGAAACGAGGCTGAACTAATCTCATCTCATGCTTTATTCTGTGCTGAAGAAATAACACTGACCAGCAGAAAAAAGGCCCTCTTTGCACGAAAATGTCACACAGACCAACCACATAGTAGCAATTGCTTTATTATGTTCTTCACTAATTACAAAAGTTACACATAGTGAAATAGTAAAATATAAAATACTGTATATAGAACATTTAGCTGGGAAAACTCAAGAAAATAGAAAATTTTGGATAACTGAAAATATTAAAAATTAATGTTAGAGAATAGGTTGTGAAGCTGTGAGTTGTATCCATTTGGCTCAGTACAGGGTCCAGTGGTAGGCTTTCCTAATGCCAGTGGTGAAAACTTATGTTTCCACAACAGGGCATTACTTGGCCACCTGACTGTAAAGGAGCTTAAGGAAGACTCTGCCATGGAATTGGGTAGTCTGTTGGTCAATCAGTCTACCAGTTCATCAGTCATTTAGTCAGCCACTTATTGAATTTGTTTGTCTGAATGGTTAGTTGAATGAGCCTGTATGTTTACATTTGGCATGAATTCAGAGTTGGATAAGAAATGATTCATGGGGTAGCTGATGATTCCAGCTCTGAAGTTTTACTTGAATTCTGAGAACAACATGACCACATTCCACAGATTATGAAATATGTGACAAAACAAGATTCTTATGAAAAACAAGGAAAATTATGAGATAGTGGGAGACTTAACTTTCCCAGTATAAGCCAAATTTACAAAGATAATAACTTTCAGTCTTTTTACATGTTTCTCTAAGAATAATTTTCTTTTATTTTGATATATTTTGTGGAGGTATCCTACTGCAGCCCATCCTTTCTGAATGTTCTTTTCAGTTTCTTTAATTTTCTATGAAATCTGTGACTGGTATCTATAATTTTATCATCATTTCTCATTTTGTTACCAAAACTGTAATAATTATCACTTGTCTCATAATCCATTTCAGCTGATATAGCAAATATATTCCTCTTGTCAGTCCTTATCATTGCCCATGCGTCACTGCTGTATGATGTTTGTCCAGCAAGTGATTTACAGACTTCAATTTTCTATCTTCTTGATCCTTAATTGTTTAAAAATTTAGTTTATGGGACACAGAATATTGATGTGAGTGAAGGGATAATGGGATATCTGGTGATCCTGTCTGAGAGTTACAATAATTTGACCTATGTTTGCTTTAATATATAGTCTTTCCATACCAGTATGAAAGTGTGTAGTTAATAAGGGCAGTGAAACTCTGCAGCATGATGTTTTTGTGGGCAGACAACAGTTACCAACGGAAGAAGAGAGCCACAGTGAGACGACACATAATAATTGGACCAGACGTGCCTCTAAACAGGCTGAGGGAGGCCTCTGATGCTATGATGACTGAGTACAATCCTACCTACGAGTTCGGTGGTGGGACTTACACTATTCAGGATTTGAAGGATATTCCACGGGATCATCTGCGACTTGTGAAGTGAGTGCAATACCGTTATGTCTAATTTCATCTCACATCATTTCTCTGCAGTTATTTCATTTATATTGTTATGCATGACTTATACTAAAAGCAAAAGGGAAAAGTGGCATAAATTGGAGGTTGTGTCTCTCAGTTTGTTCATCCATATGTTTCAGTAATATTGATGTTGAAGGTATACATTAAAATGTTATCAGTCAAATTTCATTTTATCATTGTGGTTTCAACATAACCCATGAAGCATGACTTATACTAAAAGCAAAAGGGAAAAGTGGCATAAATTGGAGGTTGTGTCTCTCAGTTTGTTCATCCATATGTTTTAGTAATATTGATGTTGAAGGTATACATTAAAATGTTATCAGTCAAATTTCATTTTATCATTGTGGTTTCAACATAACCCATGAAGCATGAAACTCCAATAAAATTTGTAAAATTTTTAAACAAGGAGTTAAAACCTGAAAGAAAGCCATGTTTCCTATTAAATATATTTCCAATGTTTGCTATTGCAGATGTTCCAGATTGTTGTTGTTGTTGTAATTTTTATTCTCCTCCAGGAAGAATTAAATATGCCTACATATTTTGTCTATGTTAAATTTGTAAGATCTAACATCAGAGTTTTACAAAGCTGAATGTTTTTAATTGCTGACTTACAGACAATATGTTATAGTTTGAGTAATATTTAATTCAACTTCATACAAAAATTCATATTCCTGCCTCCAATGGCATATTACTTATCACTGTCAAATGGAAACATAAACAGACATTTTGCATGCCACTATGTTGTTTTACATACAAAAATATCTTAACAAAGTTGAATATTTTTCAAAGTTCTATTACCACACATTCCAGTATCATATATTAAGTAATATTAGGGCTGCTCCAGCCAAACAAGTGCCTATATCCATCATGTTGTTATTTCCAGTGTACAAAATAAAAAAAAAAGATCTCTCGTTGTATAATCCTCATACCAAATTTGGTTAAAAGTGGTCTCTGGTTTATAACCTTACGTTTTGGCGCCACCTCCTCTCTAACTGTCCTTTGGCCCCTTTGTTGCTGGTTGCAGCTGCCCCTCTAGCCATTCCCTCTCACCTGTTGTTTCTCCGAGTTTGCAGGTTGCTGCTGTGTCCTTCTTGTACAGTTCTTTCCTTTTTGTTGTTGTTGTTGTTGTTGTTGTTGTTGTTGTGGATATTTGTTGTTTGCGGGATATGGGTTACATGAATGCTGGGCGCCAGTAAGCTTAATACAAAGGCTTACTTTTCAGGAAAAAGGGGGGATGAACTGGAAACTACAGATGATAGGTACTGCATTCACACTAGAGCAATGATATTCTGTCTCAGGGTGCATACAGGCCTCGCATTAGCAGGAAAGATAAGAGTGTTTATAGCTAGGCACTACCACACACAGTTTAGTGAGCACTTTTTGATATTCAGTTAACAACACTTGTCCTTAATCCCTTAAACAAACTTGAAATCACTCAAACTTTTGTGACCAGATCCCTGGATAGTTATTTAGCGACTGCTTTTTAGCACAACACATAGAAGTGATTACACTTTCACCTAAACTTTTAGCCAAATTAGTTAGTTAGTTATTTGGAGAGGGTGGGTTTCCCCATGCACTTAGACCTGTATTGGTCCAGTGTGCTTCCCTCTATGATTTCTATCAGTCTCTATATCCTACCGGTACTGGTGCTTACCATCAGTCCCGCCCAGCCAGCGAGACCGGCTCTACTAGCTGAGAAGTATCTATAATGCTTCCCCTATCTATCAGAGGTATTAGAGACTGCTGTTGGGTGGGAAACATCCGTAATTTGGCTCAGTGACCTCCTTAGGAGATATGAGGTTCTTTTACATGCCGTAAAGCTACGACACGGGACCCACGGCTTAAAGTCCCTCCCAGAGGACTTGTTCCCTGAATTTTTCCGCCCTTAAAAATTCGACGTCCTCTGCCAGATATTTGAACCTGCGTACTACGAGTCATGAGGTGGGAACGTTACCTCTAGACTATGGAGGCCGCTTTTATCCAAATTAAGATTCACACTAATTTTGCCCAGTTATTTGGAGATTGTTCCAGTAACACTCTTAAAGATAATTTTGTTTTTAACTTTGACTTTTGAATCAAGCTGCCAGTGATGCTAATTTTTTTACTGTACACTTGGAGAGTTGTTCAGAGACTGTTTTAGCAGACTGACTCTGCTTTGAAGCAAGAAATCTTCACAGCTTCAACATCGCCTCCAAATTACTACCCTAATTTTGGCTGATTGGAACAATTCGAATTTAGGGAGTTAACCGCAATTCTCACTGCTCCAATCACCTAGCTGTAGTTTGGAACTTTGGCCCTTAAAGTCCTAATGTCTTTTTTGACAGTTGCTTGAAAAATTATACCAGTAGCGTGGGTTGTGGACCTTCTCACTTTTGACTTACGGGTTTCAAAACCTGTCAAGTGTAACTTTACCAAAGGATCCCGCCGGTCAACTTTCGAACTGAATTTCCAGGAAACTCTGCGGGGTGCTTCTTGCCTGGTCTTTGTAGGAGTGAAGCAGGCCCTATTCTTGAAACCAAGAATCGGACTAAGTCACCATTGAGTGTTCCTTACTACATCCTATGCATAATTACTACAAAAAAATCTTGATTACAAATAAAGCTTGTGGTGTTAGTGGTATGGCTACAAGTTCAGAAATTGAAAGTAGGAAGGACATGGTGATTTCATAAGCCTGTAGTTTTCCATTAAGCACAAAATGTTCCATTGTAACAAACATTCTCACATACAAAACATTCTTGTATACAAATATTATTAAGACCTGTGATTTTGTCTGAGATGTTTTACGTCTAATCCAATGGAACAGAATAACAACTGCGACTCTTTGTAATATAGGTGTGTCTACTATTTAATTTTACCAATAGTGTATCTTGTATCAGCATCAAATGAAGAATGTGTTTTGAAAATGTCTATATCTATATAATCTTCACTTTAGAGACATGTAAAAAGCTATATAAAGAAAATTCCAGTCACCACCACCACCTGCTCCTGCTGCTGCACTCAGTAGAGCTAGGGGAATTGAAGTTTTACACCCTGAAGGAACACTCAAAATTCCCATCTTCACAATATCTGAGATAGTCTAAAGGGCCATCAAAACTTGTATCCAGTGAGCACTGGGGTTGCTAGAAATGAAGTGAGTCTGAGCTATGAAGCTGACCACTCACATCCATCTCATGCTAAGTTTGTGAAGGCTGGGATATTATTTCCCCTGTACCTTCATATCATGGGGACTTAGCTAAAGCAGTTATTTTACCTTGGCCTTTGACTGGATTTCAAGATATATGGAAAGTTAAAAAGAGAAGTTACTTTGCCTGAATCTTGATATATTTTCCACAGAGCACTTGGACAGGGGGCATTTGGTGAGGTGTACCAAGGATTCTTTCGACACCGTGTAGGAGATGCAGTGGAAATGCCAGTGGCTGTCAAGGTATGTTAGAAACCAAGGAATGTGGACTGACTTTGTTGTGATTGGAAACCAAGTGCTCAGGAAAGTGAGTGGAATGTCATATAATGAGGTCACATTGTGTTAATAAAGTATTGAATTCAAGCTGTTATAATGAACTGAGCATGTGGTACAGATGAGTAATTAGAGAAACAGTAACAGGAGTGTGATGTGGAAATGTCTTTGAAAATGGCCTTAGGAGTTGGAGGATAACACAGAAATGGAACTTTGGCAGATGATGTGCAGAGATGTGAAGTAGATTAAGCTGGATCAGGTAATTTCCAGATATGGACTTCAGTATGAACAGTGTAGAATATTCACGTTTTTATTACTTCAAAGATAATTAATTAACTTTGTTCTTCTCTAGCATATTGTGCATATTGCAGACTCTTCCAGAGCTGTCAACCCACCAGGCTGAAACTGACTTCCTCATGGAGGCATTAATCATGAGCAAGTTCAACCACCCAAACATTGTTCATTTCATTGGTGTCTGCTTCGACAAGCATCCACGCTTTATCGTTCTGGAGCTGCTTGCTGGTGGTGACTTGAAGACATTTCTCAGGGAGTCCCGCCCTAAACCAGTAAGAATAAGTGACTACTGTGCTTAGTGAGGCTACAGGCATCATCATGCTTGTCTAACGCTTTAAGTTTTAAATTAGTTTATGAATTCTAAGGAAACTCGTTATCACTGAAGGTCATGCCAGCTTCAAATTTTCTTATTGTTGAATTCAGTGTATTGCAATATAACAACTGTAGCTTTCTCATTCACTTCTTCTTCATATTCATGTTTCCTATTTTTATCTTTCTTTCTTCATTCTCTTCCTGCACCAGTTCTTCTTTCTTCTTAGTCTCCATATCTTCTTCCATTTTCTTCTCTTCCTCTACATTGCCCACCTCCTACTAAATTTTCTCTTCCTATTCTGTTTCTCTTTTCCTCCTCTTTCTTCTGCTATTTGTCCTATTTTCTTCCATCTTCTCCTCATTCTTGTGTCATCTTATGGAGATAGACTATAAGCCTGTTCTTGCTTTAGTCAGACAGCAGTGAGATCTACCATTAACTTTTCTTCCTCATGGAGAGTAATTCAAAAAGGAATTTGATTTGTTTCATTCTGGTCCGTCACACTAACAATATTAAAAGAGGTTAAACAGTTCATTCCAGTGTGACTAGTAAAGATTTTTCTTATTTCAATCCTTCATCCCTTACATGCTTCGGCCTTTACAGACCATCCTCAGAGGGACAATCATGAGTCACTATTACAATATGTTTTTGAATGTTAAAATATATATATATTCATTCATTCATCAGTAATCTGTCAAGACGACAGGTCCACAGTCCCTTCCAAAACAGTTCCTCCACTTAATGCGAACTAGAGCTTTCTCCTTCATATGAGAATTTCCTCTTCTGTCCCCAAGGTCATTCAGCATCTTCTTACATCTTCTTCCTCGTCTTCTGGTCACTTCTATCCACCCCTCTAACTTTCCTTCAATAACTTCTTCTAGGAGGCAGTTACTGCATAAGATATGACCAATCCAATTAGCCTTCCGTTTTCTTATTTCATGTAGGATATTCCTCTGCTCACTGACTCTAAATAACACTTCTTCCTTTCTCACATAATCAGTCCAACTGATCTTCTCCATCCTTCTCCAACACCACATTTCAAAGCTTTCCAGGTGTTTCTGATCTACTGCCCTAAGTGTCCAAGTTTCAGCCCCATACAAAGCCATGCTCCAAATGTAGCATTTCACTAGATTTTTTCTCAAATTTAAGTCCAATTTGCTAGTAAAAAGATTCTTCTTCTTGCTAAATGAAGCTTTTGCCATGGCAATCCTAGATTTCATTTCACAAGTACACCTTCCATCATCTGTTAACAAGCTACCCAAATATTTAAAACATTTCACATTCTCCAGTTGTTTTTGGTCTACCTTTATTGTGACTGGGGTTGGTTGTCTCGAAATTTTCATTACTTTTGTTTTTTCTACATTCATTTCCATGCCATAGCACCTTCCAATTTCGATTAGTCTATCAATCATACCCTGTAGCACAGTTTCTTCCTTAGCCATTAACACAAGGTCATCTGTATATTTCACAGTTTGAATAATTTTCCCTCCTAATTTGAAGTTTCCAAGCCCATCCAGAGCTTCCTTGGTAAGGCATTCGCTGTAAAAGTTGAACAGAATTGGTGATAAACAGCATCCTTGTCGAACTCCTCTCCCAATCTTCACACTTCTTGTCTCCCCTCTGTCCAGTCGCACTCTAACTTTCTGATCCATGTACAGTTTACTAATCAGTCTTCTTTCCCGCCAATCGATACCCGTTTCCTTTAGGATCTGCATTAATTTGGTCCAATTTACATGGTCAAATGCCTTCTGCCAATCTATAAAGCAAGCACACATTTCTTCATCTTTCTTCTTCAAAGTTCTTTCTGCTATAATTCTCATCATCCCAATTGCATCCCTGGTTCCTTTTCCTCTTCGAAATCCAAACTGATCCTCTCCCAGTATATCCTCTATTTTCCTTTCAATTCTTCTTTTAAGTATCTTTGCTGTATGTGCAATAAGGCTTATTGTGCAATGGTCGCTGCATTTTGTAGCTTTTGTCTTTTTCTTTAAGGCAATCATTGTCACTTCTGTAAAGTCCTTGGGCCACTCCCCAGTTTCATATATGGTGTTTATTAGTTTTGTCAGTGTTTTCATACCACCTTCTCCCAGTAACTTAAGCACATCTCCAGGTACATCATCATCTCCTGTAGCCTTTCCATTCCTCATGTCCTTGATAGCAGTGGCTCCTACGCTGTGGTTGCGACAGTGGTTGCCTGACAGCTGCTCTGCTGTTACATCACCGCGGGGTGTGTTTACCGAGCGTTGCATAATGATGGAAGGAGTGGGGGTATGTTACATCACTCGTGAGAACGCAGAGTTCACGCGACCCCTACTTCCTGTTGCGCCATCCACGTCACAGTATTGTCTGCAAACAGAACTGGTTTAGATTTATTCTTAACAAAGTTTTGTAAGCAATTCATATTGAGAAGAAAGAGTAAAGGACCTAGTATGGATCCCTATGGGATGCCATGCTTCATATTACCCCATTTTGAAACTATCTGATGTCTAGAATTTATATTTTTTATTTACACCCTTTGATATCTATCCACAACATATAATTTAATCCAATTATTCTCCTTTCCAGGTATTCCATACCAATTTAATTTGAGCTGTCATGTTAAACTGTCATGTTTAACACAGTTGAATGCTTTAGCTAGATCACAGACAATCCCACATACTAGTAATATTTTATCAGGGGCATCTATGATTTTATTACTTAGTTCATAGATTGCTTTTTCTGTTGTAAGATTTTTCCTCAATCCAAATTGTTCTTTTGCTAGGGTTGAGGTAAGTTCCGCAGTGGGGTAATATAAGCGGAGCTGATTTCAAGTAAATTACTGGATATTTCATCATATCCACATGTATTTTTAGGTTTAAGGGATTTAATAATGCTTTCAGTTTCCTTTGCTTTTGAAAATTTGAGCTCTTTGTTTGGAAAGGAGTTGTGTTCTTTGTGGGTCTGATCCCTGAGGCTATACTCGTATGACTTGACTGACCTAGTCCAGTGAATGAGTGCAGTGCAGTTGAGTACAGGGGAGTGATGTGAGATCATTGAGCAGTCAGTTAGATGACTGCTGCAGTTCAGCTGTTGTGAGTTGTTGCTGTTAGACACTTATAGCTGAGGCATGGAGATAGTTCAGGAATCCAAAGTAAGGGAAATGTCTACAATTGAAAGCCACTACCGATAAATGGCTAGTGGAGGCTGTAACAGACTGAGAACACTAGTCTGTGTGTGATAGTGATTTGTGAAATGTAGTAACAAGTTGTATAAGTGTGCAATAAATCCGATTACCAATCAAAACCCTGTATATAGTGACACTCATACATGTAATAATATATTTTAGCAGTAAATAGAGTTCAGTGGTTACTTACATGCTCTAAGCACTTTGCTCCTGGGTTAACAGCCCGCAGTACCCACTGGATAGAAAAGTAGGTGGGCCAAAGTGCTGTTTAGGGTTTCATGTCACCTTACTGAACTATCCCAGCTCATTTTATTTAAATGTTTCTATTTTGCTTTTGAATGTATGAAAATATTACTTTTGTTGCCAGAGATATTATCAACTTTCATCTCTTGTGTTAAGAAGTATTAACTGGTTAATTTAGTGTTTTTAGCTTACTGCTTATTGAAACATAACATAATAAAACATACATACTCCACATGTAATGGTTATAGCCCCATGACTTATTCTTCTGGAATTAGATAGTGATATTTCCTTCGTAAGATGTAATGACTGCACTGATATGACTCAGTTTTCCTGAATTAGGCAGTAGCGTTTCCTTCACACTAGTTATAGTGATTATGTCACTGATTTGATCTTCTGAAATTAAAAAGTGATACTATATTCACTACGTCGGATATAATGGCTTTTCTACCACAAGTCATTCTTTTTGTTTGTCAGAGCTTTCTGAAACTATATGTAAATGCTCATTGAGTGACTGGTTACACAACTTGTTAATTTAGAAGAAAATTTCTATGCATTCCTCCATAATTCATTATTTTCCCTTATACTTCTCTTGTAAGGCTATCACCAAAATTCCAAGGACTCTCCACTGATGATAAAAAGTTATGATGTAGACCTTATAAAACTGTTTCAATAAATATGCCTCAGTTTCCATTGGTTTCGATTTAAATTTACTAAATTAATCCATTCCAAAATTTGTAATCATTTTTTTGGCATTGTAGCTTAAATTTAAAAGCTTTTAGCAATGTGAAATATCCTGTGCATTTGCCATTCTAAATTTCACACTTCTGTGATAATCCTCACAAGTTACAAATCTAAAAGAGCAACAGCCTGTAATAATACCCATATACCGTATTTACGCATGCATAGGCCGCACATTTTTTGCCAAAAATTCAAGAGGAAAACTGGGGTGCGGCTTATATTCGAAATATTCGGAATCACACTTCATTTAAAAAAAATTATATTCATAATTAGTAATACAGGGTGTAATACTCCTGAAATAATATTCCAAGAAAATTATTTTTTCTATAATTTCTGTCTGAAAATTGTGCTGCGGCCTATACACGCATGTGGCCTGTACATGCGTAAATACAGTATCATTCCCATGATATGAGGAGAAAACAGCTTCTATTTAAAGCCCGACAGCTTAACTTATTAAGTGGCATGGGGTTCTGGTGTGTGATGCAGGAACGGCCATCTCCCCTCACGATGAAGGATCTGTTGATGTGTGCTATGGACATCACAAAGGGCTGCAAGTATATGGAGCAAAATCGCTTCATCCATCGGGACATAGCAGCCCGGAACTGTTTGCTCACCACCAAGGGACCGGGCAGGGTTGTCAAAATTGCTGACTTCGGCATGGCCAGAGACATATACAGGTATCATTTTCTCCATGTCTTTAAATTAATTATGCTTAGATGAGATATATTTATCCACTCAATGAGATGGAATGTAACCAGGAACAAAAACAGCTTTTCCTTTCCATTCAGCTGTGCTGATCCTTTCATCACCAAAAATTCTTTTCTAAGAAAATTTTCAGAGTAAGACAGGTTTTCTCCATATGCCCAATGCCTATGACAGGTTTAAATGTGTAAACCCCACCTAAATACATCTATGAACACAATACCACCACCACGCAACCACATTCTCAGTATGCTTGTGATCCAGTCATATACAAATGAGAAATAAATAAATTTGTCTCTATATGTATGTTTCTTTCGTCAAAATTATCATGACCAAAGTTTTTTCCTCTGTCATCTTTCCTAGGCCTCCATAAATATCTTGAATTCCAAGACTGTGGGCTAAAATCTTTGTCATATATCCAGTTAACATACACTTTTAATTTAATTTGTTGAATAAACTGAATAAGAATTATTTTTATTGTATGCATCTTGTTGTATAACACTATACACTATACCATCTTTGTGTTCATCAACACAATAAGTTCCAAATAAATAAATTAATTAATCCATTCATTCGTTTCCTTTATTTTCCATATATCCATACAGGTAACAAACCTAGGATGTGGAAATGGTCCCTTTGAAAATAGATATATCAAAATACATATACAAAATTACACGAGACACATAATCAAAATCACTTACATTGATTGATTAACATAAATAATAATATAAAGTAAAAAGTTTACTAAGATTTCAATTAATATACACAATTTAAAAATAACTTACTACAAAACTTGAATTACTACAAATTTATTTAAATTATATAATAATATAATTGTGTGTGATTGTGTAATTGGGAGTGTGTGATATAGTGATACATAGCTCCCCTACTGTAAACGTGTAGACTACTGAAGATAGAGTGAACTGATTTGCGCATAGGGTTATAAAGGGTGAAACCCCGCAACAGTGGTAACAGATTATTGCAATTAGGGTTATAAAGTGTGAAACCCCGCAAATGTGTTATAACNTTGAAAATAGATATATCAAAATACATATACAAAATTACACGAGACACATAATCAAAATCACTTACATTGATTGATTAACATAAATAATAATATAAAGTAAAAAGTTTACTAATATTTAAATTAATATACACAATTTAAAAATAACTTACTACAAAACTTGAATTACTACAAATTTATTTAAATTATATAATAATATAATTGTGTGTGATTGTGTAATTGGGAGTGTGTGATATAGTGATACATAGCTCCCCTACTGTAAACGTGTAGACTACTGAAGATAGAGTGAACTGATTTGCGCATAGGGTTATAAAGGGTGAAACCCCGCAACAGTGGTAACAGATTATTGCAATTAGGGTTATAAAGTGTGAAACCCCGCAAATGTGTTATAACTAATTGTAGCCATTACTTGTAGGTTGTTAAATAAACCAATTAACGATCTCTACGGCGTATTCAGTAACGAAACACGTTACGTTGGTGTCAGAAGTGGGTTTTGGACTTACACGCATGACCAACGAGCTTCGAACTCAAGACACGTGACAATTTGGTGTCAGAATTTTTACGAGCTTAAATACGCCTCAGAGAATTTTACTGCTACAAAATGGAGATGCAGCAGATGATGGAACTTCTCCTGAAGGAAATGAGAACCATTCACGAGAAGGAGGAGGCCAATAGGAAGAAAGACAAAGAAGAAATGCTGAAAGAGATGAGGGCCTGGCGAGAAAAGGTGGACGCCGACTCGAAAGCGTGGCGAGAAAAGATTTCCGCGGAGACGAGAGCAACCCAAGCAAGGGCGGCACAACAAGAAGAGGTCCCCATAGTGATACCGGTCGGAGAGACGATGGCCTACCAAGAAATGGAGGCACGTCGAGAAGATGAAGAGCCGGCCTCAGTGCACAGGAAACCTGAGGCGGCAGAACAACGAGAGGTACCCGTAATAGATGTCGAAGTAATGCCGGTCGGAGAACCGAAGAAGAAAAGGCGCAGGGACCGAAAGCGACGAATTGTGAAGAACCAGGCACGGAAAAATTGCGGACCCCAGAATAAATTGGCCGTCGTCAGCAGGAAGGTGTTCCGCCATGCAAGAGTGGCATGGCGCAAGAGGAACATCTTCAGGAAATCTTGGACCCGAGGAGATCATGCACCCCGGATAAAGTTGGCTGCCACCTGTAGGAAGATATCCCTTCGCGCGACAGTGGCACGACGTTGGAGAAATGACTTCAAGAAGGAAACTCCCCAGGGAACCTTCGGATACTGGAGAAAGGACTTAGCGCCACGGTCTTGTACCAGCAAGTGGCGGGAAGTCCAGGAAGAACAACGACGTCAGCGAGTGCAAACAACGCATAAAGAGCTGTTACGTCCATGTAAGAAACTTCCGACGAAAGACTTGATCAAGGATGGACCGTGTGGAGGGGACGACCCCCTCCAAAACGGAAAAGAAGACTTCAAACAGAAGAGCAGCCTGTAAAATAGAAGAACCGGCCTCCNTGCAGCAAGGGCATAAGGAAACAGGACGTGGAGGAACTACTACGCCTGAGGGAGAAGACCGGCAACGTGATCTTCAGTGGAAGGTTCGCAACACAAGAAGTCGGTACNACCGCTTGAGACGAGCTTTGTCTTAAGAGGGGAGTGGATGTAACGGCCGGAAAACAGATGCTGCAAGAACAGCCTCAGAAGCAAAGGAACGGGGATGCGCCGTTAGGCTATTCGGGACTAATAGTTTTAAGGAGGGAGCAGTGTGACGTGTCACTCTAGCTGGACTCCCCACCGGAGCTAAGACGCCGAGCGGAGCAGAAGTTAGCCCAGCCCCAGCGTCCTGGTAGCTATGCAACGCGAGTCAACAGCGGTGACGTAACAGGATGACGTGGCACTCATTACGCAACAGGCAAGCACTGCGGCTATATAAGGGAACTGCACAGCGGCTGCGAGTCAGTTGTACTGTGACAGTCGCAGAGATCAGTAGTAANGTTAGGCTATTCGAGACGAACAGCCTTAAGGAGGGAGCAGTGTGACTTGTCGCGATAGCTGGAGCCCTCCCCTGGAGCTGACGCGCCGAGCAGAGCCGAAGTGAGCCGAGTGGAGCCGAAGTTAGCCGAGTCCCAGCATCCTGGTCGCTATGCAACGCGAGTCAACAGCGGTGACGTCACCAAGTGGTACCGCAGTTGCTAGGCAGCGCGGGCAAACAGTGGTTGCTAGAGATGACGGTAGTAACAGCGGTACACAGCGTTGCTAGCACGACGGCACCAGACAACAGTGGTGCCTATTACGTGGCCATTTTCTGTATTGTCCGAACGAGGCTACATAAGGAGCAGCGAAGGCTATGCACAGTTAGTCCTCGAGCTACCTCCGAGTTAGTTCCGAGTTAGCCAGCAACCCGTCAGTTGCATTCTGGCATTTGGAGTGTAGTATTTGTGATACTGCAGATAGCAGTAATTGTGAATCTGTAATTTGGGTGATTGTAGGTGCGAATGTGAAATAAAATTCGCTATATCAAATACGGCGTGAAGTTATTTGTCGCGTTATACACTCAAGACTCATGACAATATTAACTCAAATAAATACATTACAAATTTACACACTTATGACCAATTATGTTGATGATATTCATTCATGGAATAAAAATTTCTTCAATGCAGATTTAAACCTTCTCTCATCAGTAGCCAACATTTTTATTGTTTGAGGAAGATGATTAAAACTTTAATACCTGATATGTACACACCTTTATTGTATTTTGTTAGGTTAACTGCAGGTTAACTACTTTCTGTTGCGCCATCCATGTCACATTATTGAGGGCTCTAGTTTTATACTTGTGAATCCCACTGTTAAAATTAAATAAATGTTTATTATTAATTGTGTATAAAAGTAACGAATATATGTACTGAGAGTAGAACGTCATTATTTCCCAATTCTTAAAAATGTCCCTACAAGACTCTCTTGGTGTAGAATTCGTTATAATTCTAATAACTTTCTTTTGCAATATAAAAACTTTGTTAACACAAGAAGAGCCACCCAAAAAATGATACCCTAACTTATGATAGAATGTATATGAGAAAAATAAATTAGCTTTAACGTATCTAAAGGGTCAATATATTTTATATTTCTCAATGCATAACATGTAATGGAAATTTTATTAATAACATAATCAATATGCTGTTTCCACGAAAGAGTATCATCAATAATTAATCCCAGAAATTTTGTCTCAGTCACATTAGTTAAATTTATCTGATCATAGCTAATTTGAGTAGTGATATTATAATAATTCAAAGGTCGAAACTCAACATATTGAATCTCATTAAAATTCAAGGTAAGCAAATTAGCATTAAACCATGTATTCATATCTTTGAAAGTTTGATTAAGATTTATTTTAAAGTTTAACTTATTAGTGTCAGTTACTATAATACTGGTGTTGTCTGCAAATAATACCATACTATTATTTTATTTATTATTTTAGGTAAATCATTAATATAAAGCAGAAAATACAAGGGACCAAGAATTGAGCCCTGTGGAATACCGCATTTAATTGTTTACCATTTGGATAAGTTGTTATTATCAATTCTATTACCCAATACAACTCTCTGATATCTGTCAAATATGATCCAATAAGTGTTTTGAATTTTCCTTCAATTCCATAGAATTCTAATTTATCCAATAATATTTTATGGTTAACATAATCACCTTTTGCAAATCCCACAAAATGCCTCCCACCATTAACTTTTTAGTCATCGCAGTTAAAGCATTATTTATCAATGTAAAAGCTGCCTTCTCAGTAGAGTGTGTCCTAAAACCATATTATTCATGTACAAACAGGTTATTTACTTCAATATGAGTAATAAGTCTCACATAAATAAGTTTTTCAATGATCTTAGAAAAAGAAGTCAACAATGATATATTTGGAGATATTGTGAGTTTTCCCTTTTTTAATACCGATTTAACTATGGCAAATTTTAATCT